ATCGCCTCGACCTTGTGCCAAATCGAAAAACCGCCTCTATTATCTTTGAGGAACGTTACGCGGCATAATCGTTTTTCTAGCGACAATCTGTCGCATTTGCCCCATCTCTGAACTCGACCATAAAACCCGTAACAATAGCATATATAGTGTAATTAGCGAAGTTAGCATATTTAGCAATGAAAAAAAAAAGTATATAAGTAACATATTTAAAAAGGTAGAAACAGGCAGTCACGCAATGAAAGCATACTTACCCTTAGTACTTGCCAAATCCAACGCCTCTTTTGAGTACTATTACGTTTGACGTTACGCGAACAACCAACGGCTACCCGATGAATAGGGATGTTTAAGACACATTTTTCGTAACGCGACATTATGTAGCTTAATAAAGAAACGTTGGAATGAGAACTAATAAATTGCCCATCAGCAAAAAAAATCCGTGAAACCTTACAAAATTGCCAGAATGACGAAAATATTTATTTGATTTAGTCAAATCAGATGAAATATTAGAAATAGCGTTTTTAATGGAGTACTTCAGAATATAAGTAATAATAATATCTTGAATCGTTGGGTATTAGTGGATTGGTCCCATACAATGATAACGGAAATACATGACTGATATTAGCCGGCCGTATTAATTACGCAGTGACACAAGATATTATTAATTACTTCTCACATGATAAAATACATATTAGCACGTAATTAAAATTTTACATAAAATGATATTAAATCAATTCAGATATCTCTTTCTCTTTTAAATGTACTGAATACAAAAAAAAAAACGATACATTCTTTTATAAGAACACGATTTTAATTCAATTTATAGTGATCCATCTAAAATTGAAGAACCCGAAAAAAGCAATAAGGGTTTTATAATTAATGTTTTGCCATCCGATTTCAAATAAAATTAGTGACGCATTTACGTTGAATTATGTGATACATAAATACTGTTTTTTTAACGTATAGACTTATTTACATAATCATTTACCGAAACCATGTTAATTTTATTAACGTATGCTTCTATTTAGTTCACCGAGTCGGCACTTAAAAATAGAAATAGGATCTTTAAACTCCCACTTATTATCAAAACCCCTTATTGAAGCACGATGTCAATTGTTGAAGTAACGAAATCGACAGTGAACATGACAATGAACATGAAAACGAAATATTGATAAAGAATAAAATGAAAGCCAGGTTAATTAATTTACCCGATCTCGATCTCTATTTACTTCTTTATCTGTATCGCAAGCAACTTAGCAAGACAATGATATTCAAGGATTTGCTATATTAGTTTAAATTTTAACTTCACTAATTGTAAAGTTAAAATTTTCATAACCGTTAAAACAGTTGTTTTAATCGTAAAAAATATCAATACAAATAAATTTTAAAAAAATTTGTAGTAACTACCGGGATGGTATTAAAGGATAATATCTTGGGTCACTGTGTAATTAGTGACCCAAGATATTATTATTACATATAACCGCTTTTGGAGTGCTCCGGAGTGGGTTAGAAAATATTAAAAGCACACATATACAGTTATCCTGATGATATATATAAATGCTAATTTAATGATTGTACCGCTTCACTTTGTCAAGGTATCTATTTTTCAACAATTAAAATCATTATTATTAATTATATTACTTAACAAACAGAAAATTAAATGTTACAAGCGATGACAAATAAAAATTAATGTTCGAAAGACTTTACTGACGAAGCAAAATAGGGATGAGAAAATTCATTTATTATTTTTTATGATATATTTGTGGGATTGATTAATATAATATAATGTCTGTAAAAATTATCTTATAATTTATAAGCTTTTTTAATAATTGTGTCATGAAACATTCAACAAGAATCTATTAATTATGATCTAGCTTGTCACATCTCTGAAGATTTTTTATGATAAATAAATGCTTTATATTCATCCTTTTCAACACCTATTCCATAAAGATAACAAAACCCAACATTATTTATTGCATGAATATCACCCATTTCAGAAGATTTTTGATAATAATTAAATGCTTTGCATTCATCCTTTTCAATTCCAATTCCTTTTTCATAACAGTATCCAACAAGATTTATTGCATCTGCATCACCCATATCAGCAGACTTTAGATAATAAAGGAATGCTTTATGCTCATCTCTCTCAACTCCAATTCCGTGTTGATAACAATAACCAACATTATATGTCCCACTAGTATGTCCCATGTCTGCAGATTTTTGATAACAATTAAATGCCTTATGTTCATCTTTTTCAATCCCAATGCCTTCATAATAACAGACGCCAATGCAAAATATTCCTTCACTATGTTCCATATTAGCAGAGCTCTGATAATAAACGAATGCTTTATGTTCATCCTTTTCAACCCATTTACCAAAACGATAACAACTCGCAAGAATAATCTGAGACATAGGATTGATTTGATCATCCAAGCACCAGTTGATTATATTATCAGGGCTTTGCTGTTTTCCTCTTAAAAACTGATCCAATGTGTTAATTATTGATCCAGAATCTCTAAATTTTAATCTTTCTTCATTGTACAGATTATATAATTCTTCAACAATCTCATTAAAACAATCCGGTGGCTTAATATCTTCTAAGCTTAATTGGTTAAAATTATGTGATAAACTAATCATCTTTTCTGGATGTTTTGTATCTGGTTGATTTGACATATTAAAGCAAAAAAAAAAGACTTGATTTACGTACGTACGTACGTACGGTACGCATGTATGTACAAAAGCATTCTTATAATATTGTCTGCTGTGCTACGTATTAAATTTCTACATTTGGGGGGATCCTTAAAGCCGGGTTAAGGTTAGGGTTGCTTTTTTGATGCTGATAGTGTATTATTTATATATGGATATCAAGAATATGATTTATGCTGTATTTAGTTCAATGTGTGAATCTGCCCGCTTTAAGGAATCCCTATATTTAAACACATTTACAGTAACACGAGACCATCGTTACACAATTCAATAGGATAATGTATTTTCATGTCCCATAATTTTGTACAGCCTTGGCTGCAGTACCCATGGGTACTATTCAAATTTTTTAAATAATATTCACTCGGGTACTAATTACGTGGGAGTAGGGTCACGGAAATTATTCAATTTACAGCTGTGATCATCATTTCGTGAACGCATGTTAAAACTTACTCGAAAGGTTTTTCTGCCGATTAATACTATATATAATTTAAGATCCAATGGCTACTGCAAATATTATAAGGCTTATATCCAGGTGTACCGAATAATTGATTGAGTGGAAATTAATTGCAATTATTTGCTACAATTAATTAATTGCAATTATGATTATGTATTATGACAAATTAATCACATCTACGGCAACCTGATTGATTAATGATTAAATATTACAAAGCTTTTAAAAGTACGTATATCAAAATAGCATACATAGCATACACAGTTTTTTTATTTTCGCATTTGTTCTGATGAGTATTAAAGGACTACCAATGCGTATCTCAAGCCTGATTTTGCTGCTGCTGCTGCTACTGATTTGCATGCTATATAGTCTTAATAACTTGTACTATAAATTTTCTTTTTAAGTACTCTTTTTTATAGTGTTTATTTGGATTTTGTTACAATAATACTATCAAATTTAAAAATACTAAATATTGATGCTACTCTTTTCTCAAGTATTTATATGCAAAATTTATATATAAATTATCATATTTTCTATAATACTACTATTACATATAGTAGTACTACTTTATAATTATAATTTTTTAAAATCTCTATTTTTCATTTATATTGCATTTAAATTTTTTTTATAAAGTTCTAATTAGAGATATTAAAGTCAGTCTTAGTTCTTAAAGTTTGTCTTAGCAAAAGATTGTAAATTGGATTATAGTTCAAAACCAGTTTATAAACCAGTTTATAGTATAGTTTATTAGTTAGTTTTTAAATTAAATTACATAGTTTTTAATATTTACTATTTATAAAAAAGACAAATTAATTAAGATTAATATTATCAAATATAAAACTTTATAATATTATTTTTAGTATAAAAGTTATTATTTTTATATTTAAAAATTATCTAAAATTTAGTATTAAATTTAGTATTACTTATTTCAAATTTTGATTTCAATTATTATTACAAATTCTAGTATTATATTATTAAAACTTGACATCCTTAAAAATTTCTGTTTAAAAGTAACTATTAAGACTTTATATAATAACAGATATATAGACTTTTTAAAGAAATATACAATTTACCAGATAAGTATTTTAATTAATATTTTATTGTTAGTATTTATGTTTTAATTTATATATTATTTATTTATATACGTTTTTGCCTTTTGTTATTTATGTTAATTCTGCTAAATATCTATATATACTAAATATACTATTATACTACTTATCTATATATGTTACATTACTAAATATACTATTATATTACTTATTTTAAATATACTACTTATGCTAAATGCACTTTATACTATTTATACTAAATATGCTATATACTTTAATTAATATACCTATTACTTCTCAATGTTTATATATCAATCTTGCATAATTGCTTTTAATTTTGATAGTTTTATTATTACATATTACACTAGATAATAATGTTAAAATTATCTTATTAAAATGATTAAATAGATTTTAGACTATAATAATAATATATAAATATGTTATATATATTTAAATATTTAAAAATTATAACTTAAATTATCAAATAAATTGCCAGTAACTGAATTAGGGGACAAGTTACGCATCACATACAATATTCATTACACGTTTTACCTATAAAAATTATTAAAACAAAATCAATATGTTATATTTAGTTATTAGAAAATTTTTTTCTTTTAGTTAATAAAATTATTTTATAAGCAATAAAGCAGTTTAAATTTAGTTCTTAATTTAGAATTAAAAATCAGTTAAATTAAATTATAAAACTAAGATTTTTGCAAAACTATAATATTTTTAGTTTTAATTAATTATAATTTCTATTAAAATTATAAAGCTAATCTTTAATCTAACTTAAAATATTAGCTAAAAAGTTTTTTATATAATTATTGTTTTTTATTTTTAATAAATATAAAAATTTATATTTTAAAACTATAAAAAGTTAGTTATTATTAGTTTATTCTTTTTTATATTTAATTATTTAATTTATAAAAATTATAAAATATTTTTTGTTTCTAGTTTAATTTGAACTTTTTTTTAAACTTGATAATAATCATTTTTTTTTTTTTTTTTGTTAAAGGCCATACTTGTAGCGATACTTTATTGACTTTATATCAGGTTAGCTATTACAATTATTTTTACAAAGATAAGAGTACAGTTAGTCACACATGTAACTTTTGGTTGCCTATTTAAGTAGTCCACCCTAAGGTACTACACTAGATGCCATACCTATAACCTACTAGGAGATTATTTATTTAAACCCTCTGATCATCTACCCTGTCAATATCCTTTTCTTCTAATCCAAAATCTGGCAGCCTGGTTGGTGGTATCTCTCACCCAAGGTTCTTGCCTACCTGAATCCTTCATATTGGTATTCATTTTCTAGGTCTAGCCTTTACAGTAGTACTATCAAAGATCTATGTTACCTTTTTGCTCAGAATTTCCAAATGGATTCTGGTTTTCCAGTTTTACAGATTTACATGTCTGAAAACTTATTTTAGATTTGTATTGCCTGGTACCAGTTTGCATTTCTCTGTATAACAGATTACACAAATGCCCCAGACCTGCCAATTATGCTGGTGCAACTATAGTTACAGGTATCCTATCTCAACTGATTGACAGAATGCCATTGTCATAATACCATTTATATATTACATAGATGATTATACAAATTTTTTGGTTTATATTGATGTTAAACATTGGTCCTGCTAACCTACACATTACTCTTCACTAAAAAAAACCTA